TGTCGGTCTACAATAGTGATTTAAGCTCTAAGCCTTAAGAAATTGACCAATCACGATCAAGTATGAGGAGAATACTCGACTGTGATTAGTCAATTTCTTAAGGCTTAGAGCTTAAATCACTATTGTAGACCGGCACTAATCGAATGACAAAGAACGTAAAAATAATGAAAGTATACCTAACCTGACCCATACCGGCGCTTTTATCAGCAGATAGCATTATTAATACACTTGGCCTTACAACTACACTTCTGTAGTTAGTAATGTACGCATCGTATTAACGAAAAAACGCTACCGCTATCCAAAGCAACGAAAAGACATTTCGAGCACAAATCCGGTCCAAAACGTCTTTTCATCACTCTCAACAGCGCACAGCGAGTACACTCGTACAACCACACTACGATAACGCGCGGTTGACACATCCACTATCCAAAGCGGTAAAATCCCGGTACGGGTACTCTTACATCTGACCTGTAACGGTACTTTACCGCCCTCGATAACAAATGATATTCAGCGATAGACACACAAATGCGATCACACCGTCGCATTAACACTTCAGAATCTTCCTGTCACTTTTTAACGAAAACACTTAACCTCCTGTTAGCGGACAACGTGCCCGCTATTCGAAGCAATTGAACGATCCTTGGAGTACTTATTTCCGACCCGGAATGTCGCTTCAGTGCCGTCAACAACGTTCGACACTTCCCGACACGATAGAACACCGCGTGCTACGCGCGATTAACACTTCCGTTGCGCAAAGTGGCGCGGGACGCGGGACATCGACGCAAGTGTACCGCGTTCCGAAACACATCGATACATCGACACTCTACCTGTCTCGTATCATGACTAACACCGCGTTTCCTATGTGTGTTAAAGCGTTTTCTAATGTAGCGAGTTAATAGCTCTGAGAGCGATTAATGACATCGTTGCGTCGTCTCTGCCAATAAAAGGCTTGAATTCATATTAAAATATATTGATTAATTCATCGGGTTTGAATTAACCCGTTCATTCGAAAACACTATAACACCGCATTTCCATGTGTCTTGGACTGTGTCTCCTTACCTTTATGCAAATCCAAATGTTCCGATAGCCGGACGTACAATGAGCCAAAAGATAGTGCTCCCTCGACCATGTACTCTGTAAAGTTATCGCAAAGATAAATCACGAGCTCCAATTACCCATAATCCAATGCAAAGAAGATGTAGCTATTCGAAAAATTTATGTTTATCGAATAAACTGCAGTAGTTTTATCAGTCGGAGATAGGGGCGAAGCCCGCTTTCCCGCAGAGGGGGCTCCATTTGCGGAAGATATAATCTAACTCAAACCCAATTTTTGTTGCGATTCACCACGTTGCAAATTTCGATTTCAAACAAATTGTCAATCTTCTACGCCTAATAATCGTAGGTTTCAATCGCATACTATCTTATACATTTTGAATTTCAATTTCGTGCACTCTAGGAAAAAGTAAGCGAAACGCATACGCGTGTGGATGCGCGCGGAACGTGCGATAAGGACTTGTCATTTGCATTTTAATTTTAACACATTTAATAATTAACAAGTGATTGAAAAATATATTTGAATGATTGCGACACAAGGCAACTCCAAAACGGGCTGCACCGGGGCGCGAACCGCGGACCCTAACAAGAGTCACCGACGTGACACCCAGTCTGTGGGACCACCACAGCCCCTAATATTATTCCAATGAATTCTACCTTATATGTTTTATTCCAGTGTTAAGATTCTACCTTTAAAATGATAATACTAACCTTATATTTATCTTATACACCAAGAGTCTACCTTATATTTATCCTATAAACTAAAAGTCTACCTAAAATTAATAAGATTAATACTAATAGTTACTTAAATCTATCCAATTACCTTATCTAAAACTACTACCCTATAATTATAGTCAAATTACTCACAAACTGGGTGATTCTGGATATCATGCGCGCGCACCGCACCGCGCATGCGCGTCGCGCCTGCGCACGCAAGTATTTCATTTTCATCGCAGAAACTGATAGTATATATTACGCTACACACCTTATGACTATCTATCTTACTAACTAATTGTAACTAATTACCATTTTATCCTAAATAGACACCAAAAAATTAGTGCCTCTTTTTCTGGATTTTCACCTCACCGCAAGCGATGCAAGTGCTTTCAATAATCCCCACCTGCATCACCTGCGGTGAGACGAACCCCCCGAGGTGGGCACCCCTGGGCCCGGACCGCGGGTCCCTCTCTCTCTCCACAGGTCCGCTACAGCCCCTACTATAATCCTTCCATTTTTTCCTTATATACTCATAGCTTACATTACAAGCACATGCGAGAAAAACTAATTTTTGATATATATTAATAATTAACCTACCTATTATGTTTCTCCGCCTACCGGCGTTAACCGGGTGTTCCGTAATTACCTACTTTAATTGATTAATTAATTAATTAATTAATTAATTAATTAATCAAATAGACAAACAACCAAAATATGTATACATATATAGGTGATGAGTATCTTAACTTACGTTGCCTATTTTTACGATTTCACTTTGTCCAAGGAGGATACCAAAAGGCTTTCAATAATCCCCACCTGCATCACCTGCGGTGAGACGAACCCCCCGAGGTGGGCACCCCTGGGGCCCGGACCGCGGGTCTCTCTCTCTCTCTCTCCACAGGTCCGCTACAGCCCCTATTATAATCCTTCCATTTCTTCCTTATATACTCATAGCTTACATTACAAGCACATGCGAGAAAAACTAATTTTTGATATATATTAATAATTAACCTACCTATTATGTTTCGAGTATCCCCCCTATGTGAACCCTTCCGTACCCGCAACCATTGGACTAATGCATTCGAACCATTCATTAATCCAATGATTGCGGGGATACAAGGACCCATTGTGGGATACATCGGGGCCTGGACTACCTCACCTCCACCACAGCCCCTCCACATTTCATTCTTTCGATTTTTCCTTATATATTCCTACCTTACGATAAAGCACATGCGAGAAAACTTAAATTTAAGACTTGTCCTATAGAGGCATAAAAAATATAATTGATGCCTCTTTTTTCTGGATTTTCACTTTGGCACACGAAACACGAATATTTTTATTAATCCACATCCGATATCCCGTGTGCCAAGACGAACCCCCTGAGGTGGGGCACCCTTGGGCCCGGACCGCGGGTCTCTCCACAGGTCCGCTACAGCCCCTACTATAATCCTTCCATTTCTTCCTTATATACACTTACTCTATATTTAAAGCACATGCGAGAATAACTAATTTTTGATATATATTAATAATTAACCTACCTATTATGTTTCTCCGCCTACCGGCGTTAACCGGGTGTTCCGTAATTACCTACTTTAATTGATTAATTAATTAATTAATTAATTAATTAATTAATTAATTAATTAATCAATTAAAGGTAATCACGGAACACCCGGTTAACGCCGGTAGGCGGAGGAACATAATAGGAAGGTTAATTATTAATATATATCAAAAATTAGTTATTCTCGCATGTGCTTGTAATGTAAGCTACGAGTATATAAGAAAGAATCGAAAGAACGTTATTAAGGGGCTGTGGTGGACAGGTATAGTCCGGGCCTCGACGTATCCCAAAATGGATGTTTGCATTCCCACAGGCGTACGATCGATGAGTGATTTAAATGCATCCTCGGACGTTTGTGGGGACGAAAAAGTCCATATATAAGGGGGATACTTTTTTCGTATCTCCCTTATAAATGGACTTTTTCGTTCCCACAAACGTCCGAGGATGCATTTAAATCACTCATCGATCGTACGCCTGTAAGAATGCAAACACCCATCATTTTGGGATACGTCGAGGCCCGGACTATACCTGTCCACAACAGCCCCTTAATATCGTTCTTTCGATTCTTCCTTACATACTCGTAGCTTACATTACAAGCACATGCGAGAATAACTAATTTTTGATATATATTAATAATTAACCTACCTATTATGTTTCTCCGCCTGCCAGCGTTAACCGAGTATTCCGTAATTAGTTTACTACTACTTTAATTGATTAATTAATTAATTAGTTAATCAATCAATTCAACAACTGAAATAGATGATGAGTACGATATGTTTTATTATATACGATTAATATCATGATAATCGCACGAGTAATCTTTGCTTAATTATTAGAGATGAAGTGAAGAGACTTTGCGTGAAACGCGCGATCATAATATATATCGTGTAATAATAATAACAATATTATAATCTGATTGTAAACAAAATTCTGTAAATTGATTAAAACATGAATCAAACGTGTCTTTGTTTGTATCGTTTTGATTAGGAATAAGTTACGCTTCTTAAGAGCATAATCAATAATCCACCCATTCTCTTCTGATAGAATCGAGCACGAATCGAATACACGATAATAATACCACCAGTATCCGAACGAACATTAACGAGCAATGTATCGCGCAACCAGCGACAACTCTCTCTCTCTCTGTAATGTGAAGGGACCTTGTAAAAAACAATTAAAAATTATTTTGTTCTCACTAATGATATTTAATAAAATTGCTGAGCAAACACAGATTTTCTCATTTTATGGATAAATGATAATATCTAAGATAAATAATTTTTCTATAAAATATTACAATAGAACGGGTTTCTATCTTATTTCGCTAATTATATAACAAAAGAAATATGCATTCGATATCTTAATTATAAAATATTGCACAGGCAGTATATTGATGTAGCAAACTAATATAATATATCACGTGTAACAATAATAATATTATAGAGTATAATAGAATAGGTTTCTATCTTATTTCGCTAATAATTTAACAAAAATAATATATATTTTATATCTGAATTATAAAATATTGCAGAGGCAGTATATTGAAATGTGGCAAAGTAATACATATCGTGTAATAATTATAACAATATTTGAATCTGATTCTAAACAAAATTGTGTAAATTGATTAAAATGTGAATCAGTCTTGTTGTCTCGTGTGTCTTTGGAATAATATTGAATAAGTTTTTACTACAAAGAAACCATACATGTTACGCACAGGTGGGTAATATCTCTTGGTTAGTTTCAGAGAAGGATGTAATCGTTTGATGTCTAGGACCACCAGCAGCAGCAGTTCCAAATTGTAGGCCAGTGGGCAATAACTTAACGTTACCACGACGACACCTCTATTTATTAAAGTCTGAAAATACAAATTCGACATCATTATATATATATGTGTGTGTGTGTGTGTGTATGTGTTTTCTCATAAACTACGAAGAAACCATACCTGTTACGCACATGTGGGTAATATCTCTTAGTTAGTTTCAGAGAAGGATGTAATCGTTTGATGTCTAGGACCACCAGCAGCAGCAGCTCGTGACACCAGCAGCAGTTCCAAATTGTAGGCCAGTGGGCAATAACTTAACGTTACCACGACGACATCTCTATTTAATAAAGTCTGAAAATATAAATCCGACATCATTATATATATATATATATATATGTGTGTGTGTGTGTGTGTGTGTGTGTTTTTTCATAAACTACGAAGAAACCATACCTGTTACGCACATGTGGGTAATATCTCTTAGTTAGTTTCAGAGAAGGATGTAATCGTTTGATGTAATTGTCTGTGACCAGCTCGTGACACACAGCAGTTCGAAATAAAAACTTGTAAATTATTTATGAAAAAAAAAAACTAAAATTTCTTTGCTTTATACTGCGAGTTGCTGGAAAAAAAAAAAATAAGAATTAATAATTCTATCATTAATATATAAAATTTTATATATTACAGCAGCTTACCTCAGTTTTTTGAGGCCGCCGTCTCGCGGTCCTCCTGCTCCTTCTGGCCGGGAAGTTGCCCCCCCGCGCTGTTCTCTCGACGCATCGCGACGATGTTTGAATGCGAATATCGCCGCTCAAATTCTTTCCGTTGGGTGATCCACTCCTCACGCGGTATCCCCGCACGGAAAGATTTTTTTTCTATGTCTTGAATTTTCTTTTGGTCATCCATCTGAAAATAAAACATAAAATGTTACATTTTACGATTTCGCGGTACTTTGAATAAACGCGGTACCATGATATTCCGGCGGAACGGGGATTACCCTACCTACCTTGTGCTACGACAATCCGAAGCGTAATGAGATGCCAGAAACTTGTCCCGCGGCTCACGGCTCAGCGATGGAAGATGTAACGCACGCAATCGCGAACCGCGTATATGTTGCACATACGCGATTTCTGGCATCACTGGAGGAGAGAGCCGTCCTCTCCCCACCACGTGGATAATGCGCGGACAAATACGCGATCGTAATTGGTGGAGAACGGAGAGACCGAAAACGTAAGCGAATTGACCAATCACGGTCGAACGGTAAGGCAGCCATATTGAAACGTAAGCAACGGTGAAAATTCTTAAGTCAAAGCGTATCTAGATACATCCTACTCCTACAGCCTTGTTACTGCCATTGTAGACGACGCGTTAGTTTTGATTGCGCGTATTTTTGACGAGTTTCCTACGATTTCTCCCATCGCGTAGCAATTTAAATATCGTAAAAGAAAATTTATTAAATAAATATATTTTCATCAAAATTCAAGTCTTGACCGGGTCAAACTAAACATTTACGGAAAATTTATTAATTATATCAACTATTCGTACGCGAATGCGACGAAGCGAGAAACGCATCGACGAGGTGGTGCTGCGGCACTTGAACAATCTAATAAGCGACATAAGACTGGGAGACATCGTAGTAAGATTGCAATAAATAATTACATATTGGTGTCTTAAGTAAAACTTATTCTTCTCACTTAATTTTTAAAATGTTTATCTTTTTCTTATATAGGTAAACAACATATCAAAGGATGCACGTAGAAACCAATTGTTACGAATCGGAAAAAAGATACGCGAGGAAGTGCTAGCGCAAAAGGGAAAACTTGGCAGTTGTCGTTTGTCTGTGCCTCTATCATGCCTATTTGTATTGCGACCCTTGCAAAGTGACGTAAACATTAGAAATATTGTGTCTGATGTAACTAGTTATAGATGAAAGAGAAACTTTCTTCCAACGATGAGATGAAAACAAAAGGAAAACATGGAACACGAATAATCCTATATACCGCAGATCCTGAAAAACAGGTTATATATGTAACACTGTATTTGAATTTATTTGATATTATAATTCTATAGGATTTTCGCGTTTTTCCGTTTTATTTTATATGTATATATTTTTGTATAACAATGCTAATTTTATTTATATACAGGTAGTAACAAATAGCCCAAAAGAAATTGCAAACAGGGGCATAGAACTCTTAAAGGAAGTGAATACCAATATAGGGTCGCGACTACGATCGTCTGTTTTGGCATTTCATGAAACGTATATAGCGGAATGTATGGACAGATTGAAAGCTCGTTATGATACACTGTGACTGTTTTAAGTAGAGTGTATTTGGATGGAAAAGAGGAACGCGAAGAACAAATGACAAATAAAATTAAAATGGAAACCATAAAAATGTATCGCGTTATGAAAGTTTTGCAGGAATATATAAATGAATGCGATACAGCTTTCCCAGGAGAACGGAAAATATTACCATAGCGTAGGTAAAGTTATAGTTATATATAATAAAGAGAATGTTTCTTCTTACAAACACATGCACAGTGTAAATGCAACATCTATTCCGATTACAGAGCAGCTCGTGGCAAGCATCTCTCACTTGTTATTCGTTTTGCGAGTCCCGGTCGGAACGTTGACGATATAGATATCTTCACGCATAGTAATGACACATTAGCTTCATTGAGACGTCAGATATTACGTAGGATTAAAGCAAGCGGGACGAATGTGAAACTCGATTTATTTATTAATGGAGATTCGCTGGAACAGTCCGATGATAGGAAACTTCTTTCTCAGATTCCACTGAGGGACAAAATGGTGAATAGGAGACAAAGTTAAAAGTATATAAGCTTTTGGTATTTAATCTTTTTTAATAACAATAAAAGAATCCTTCTTGTACTTAATAATCTCGAGCATTCTGAAAGAAAGACACTTATCCGGCGGCCTTCCGTGCTGCTAAAATTTCAACATATGCCAATGATGCCTCCTGTCGTGCTTTCTTTCAGTTCGACCGATTTGAAAGAGTTGTGCCTTCGACATTGTGCGACTCCATTGTACTTTTAGGTAGATATTTAAGAATCAAGTTGTTGCTTCAAATTTAATTGCTTATACTTCGCTTGTTGAGTTGACTATGAAAAGAAAGGGAAAAGAAATTAGAAGTTTGTCAGGAAACTTGCGTGAGATTCGATATAATATTCATCAACGAGAGATATTTATACGACCGTTGAAATTTATTTCGGAACCCGAAAATGTGATTGCTGCGGGCCGCCACTCTCTAGTTTATCATGACGCACGCATATACGTTAAACACGACATCGAGTTGTCCGCGATGGGTAATCGTTTAAAAATGAAAACACTGTCCTCATTCGGAACAAAAGTTTTTACGGAGAAAAGGAATTGAAAAAAAACGTGACGCAAGTAATAAGACGCAAAGAGGATATGGAGCAAACAAATAAGTAGTTTGTATCGTTGTATGGTACGACCTATATCGTTGATAAAACGATGTGGTCTTTTCGCAAAAATTGTGAAAACGATCATATCGCGCATCGTTTCGATAATATCGTCCGGTATATCGTCCGGTAACAGAGAAGTATTCTACAAAAAAGAATGATAAATAGAGACGAGAAAAAGAAAGTGACGATCTTCAAATTTATCAACCATTAACCGGCCATTGCTCTGACTTATTGAATAAAAAAAGGAACGTGTGTGTGTGTGTGTTATATATAGAATATTATATAAAAATAATCTTATAAAAGAAGAAAAAAAAGAGAATTAAAATCATGTAATGTGGAATAAGCGAGCAGTGTGTATAATAAGATTTCGTGCGAAAAACCAACGACTATGTCAGGACACCAGGAAATAATGACGTATTGATTATTATTGTTCGTATTTATCGAATAACCGAGTTAAACACAGTGTACCAAATTATATAATAGCTTCTATTTGTTAAAAATAATAATGGTACCTAATCTTACTCGGACATGTACATATATAGACACAAACAACCGCTTTTTATATATGTGATAAAAAAATTATTGTATTCCTATTATATATACATTGAGATTTAGAGAAACGCTATTGTAAATCCTGGTTTTTGTACACGGACACTGTATGCTAAGTTCACTCTCTTTTGTTAACACGCGAGATGTAGTCTATAATTATTTAATATTTAATTTTACTCCCACTAAATAATAAGCGCGTATAATATCATGTATAAAAAATACTTGTCCTTTTTTTTTAATTATTCGAAAGATATGGTTCACAAAAACTGGAAGTGTCATGATACTAGTGTCATTTATCTTATGCGTGGTAGAAATAAGGGAGACATAAGTATGTGCGATAGCCGAGCGCGCATTGTACGTAATATAAGATCATTGCCGGAATCGTCGTTTTTGCCATCAGATGAAACAGCGCTCGGCGTTGTAGTTTAAAAAAAAAAAGAAGGAGGAAGAGAGATACGCAAGGGACAGTAGAGATTGCGACGACGGAATGTCATTTTCCTGCGTATACGTACATCATTTAAGATTAGTGTAATTTCGCTGAATACAGATTTCGAGGATGCTACAGACGTAAAACATCGCCTCTATTTTTATTTTTGCGAAAACAATGAAGCGTATTTACATTGGAAATTTCAAATCACCGGAATTATACCGATTCCTACAATATGCTTGTGTACGTAATAAAGTAAAGCGAGGAGAGAAACGAAAAGGAAGATTGTGCATCAGTTTTATGGTATGCGTGATCCCATCTCGCAGATATAAATTGACGAATCATGAAATTTACTATTAATTACGTTATGTACATCGCGCGGCGCATTGCGATTTTACATTCGTTTCCGAGTACGAGGGTCGTCGGACATAAGTCAAAAAGATCAAAGGCAAATGCGTGGACTAGACCGTGCACTGGCGGAAATCACAAGAATAGTGATCATTGTTCTTGAGATCGCGTATGCTCGTAAAGCTAATTCTCATAGTAAACACATAGTAGAAAAAAATAAAATGTCTCCTCGACATTTTCTTAGTTCTAGTTTTTAAAAGTAATTTTAATTGTATTTAGCGCGAATGAGACGCTCTAGTCAATAAAATTACGAATAAATAGAAGGGAATATTTAATAATTTCATTCACGTTTGATATAATCTGTGAAATGTTTTCGGAGCATTCAACTAATGGAAATTACAATGGTGGCCGTAACAGTCCCAATTAAATACACGTCATCCATGAGAAATGTTCTACGTTTCAGTTTCAATTTTCCTTCCTCAGAATTAACACAGCTTTAAAAAATCTTTCGTAACATTTAATACCGCTTTCTGTAAGTAATATCGGATCTAATTGCAGTATATTATTTTGAAAAAAGTCTTTGTTTATCGCTAGATCTAGATCTGGCTCGTCTCCCATAAGTTTGGAAAACCATTTAAAGCACGCCTCGCGATCAGAAACAAATACATCCTGTTCGGCTAAACATTGCCAAATCTGCTCCGCTTGATCAGCGCGTAACCATAATTGTCCATCCTGAAAAATCCATATATTATTTTTTAATAAAATATATTTTTTAACAGAAATTTATGTCTATCTATTTTATTCCAAGATCTGAAATGTACCTTTACAAGAAAACGCAAGAGATTCAATCTTTCCTGTACTTGCATAATATGATTGTATCGACCATCAGGCATAAAAGTATTCGCGTCAATTTCAGGATTTTCCTTTACCAATTGTCTTTACCATTTATCCATATAATTTGTTAAGCTATTTGTTACAAGTATCACTACTGAATGTGTTCACTCTGTAAACGCTCTATTACTTCTTGCCTATGTAGTAAATAAAAAGAGTATGATCAATGTAGTAACGCAATGTGTGTACTATATGTATATTTATATATATATATGTAACGCATACATAGCTATTATTATATGTAGATCATACCTGTAGTGTAAATGATGGCTACGTTGACTATGACCCAAGTTGGGATTTGGTTCATAAAGGCAACATATTTCGCGAATTTGCTTTAACGCAGGAAGAAGAGCCCACTTATCACCATTTTTCAATTCTTCGACACACTTATCCAGCCAGATTGTCTTTTGCGCGTCTCTTTCTTGCGAACATGAATAATCAAGAATCTTTACACGAGCATTCAACGCCGGATCCATAATTTCTGTAGGGACTTCATCGGAATGAGCCAAAGTCTAAAAAAATGTTAACACCTGGCGATAAAAACAATATAAAAGCATTTCAAAGTCTCCAAGATATATTTATATGTATATGAACATGTATATATTTTAGATTCGTCTCACCTTGTGCGCCATAACGCCATCCTTATCATCCTCCGCAAGTCTCCTAATCAATTCTAATAATTTTTCCCGTTGTTTTTTATTGGCGGTCCTCCAACTTGTCTAAAAAATTGCACATTTGATTGTTAAATTTTATGCAATTTAAATTTTGTGATAGAGTATCTTTATATACTATTGTGATAAATACCTGAAAACACTCAAATAAATGGTCAAGCTGTTCAGGACTAAAATCCCAAGCTAACTTGGCTAACAAATCATGAACGTTTTTCACAATCGCCTCGTGTTTACCAGCTTGAGCTGCCCAAACAGCATCCAAGTCTTCAAGTGTAAGTGCACGTTCTTTTATAATAAAGCGTAAAATCTTCTCCAGTTTTTCTACATATTGTGGCTGATGCAACGAATCTCTCAATACAATTTCCAATACTCCATTGTCTTTAATCCATTTCTGTATCACAAAAAAATATATACACATATAATATATATACTTCATAAATACTCCATACAAATAAATACTTCATGATCTTTACAAAATTTATGATATAATTGTCGAACTCGTGATATTCGGCACAATATTCATGTACTTAATAGGATATTCTTTCTCTTTACATATGATTTAAACATCATTATATTAAAGTAAGATATAGAATTATGTATATAATATTATGTCAATTTTAAAGCTGAACTTACTGCCATACGTTCTGCTGTAAGCCATTCTTCCTCTTCCACTATTGTATTACGATGCTGGTGATCCGTAAGTGTGGAACCTTGTAAAAAAACAATTAAAAATTATTTTGTTCTCACTAATGATATTTAATAAAATTGCCGAACAAACACAATTTTCTCATTTTCTGCATAAATGATAATATTTAAGATAAATAATTTCTATATAGAATATTACAATAGAACGGGTTTCTATCTTATATCGCTAATTATTTAACGAAAGAAATATGCATACGATATCTTAGTTATAAAATATTGCACAGGCAGTATATTGATGTAGCAAACTAATATAATATATCACGTGTAACAATAATAATATTATAGAGTATAATAGAATAGGTTTCTATCTTATTTCGCTAATAATTTAACAAAAATAATATATATTTTATATCTGAATTATAAAATATTGCAGAGGCAGTATATTGAAATGTGGCAAAGTAATACATATCGTGTAATAATTATAACAATATTTGAATCTGATTCTAAACAAAATTGTGTAAATTGATTAAAATGTGAATCAGTCTCGTGTATCTTTGGAATAATATTGAATAAGTTTTTACTACAAAGAAACCATACATGTTACGCACAGGTGGGTAATATCTCTTGGTTAGTTTCAGAGAAGGATGTAATCGATGTTGTCTGGGACCAGCTCGTGACACCAGCAGCAGTTCCAAATTGTAGGCCAGTGAGCAATAACTTAACGTTACCACGACGACACCTCTATTTATTAAAGTCTGAAAATACAAATTCGACATCATTATATATATATGTGTGTGTGTGTGTGTGTATGTGTTTTCTCATAAACTACGAAGAAACCATACCTGTTACGCACATGTGGGTAATATCTCTTAGTTAGTTTCAGAGAAGGATGTAATCGATGTTGTCTGGTCTCTCCGCCACCAGCGTTGTAGTAAAACTTATTGTTAGAAAATATACAAAAGAAAAAAAAAGAAAATCTTTGCCGCTTTTTATACCGCCGCTGCGAGTCGCTGAAAAAAAATAAGAATTAATAATTGTATCGTTATAATATACAAAAGTTTATATATATTAAAACAGCTTACCTCAGGTTTTTGAGGCCGCCATCTCGCGGTCCTCCTCCTCCTCCTCCTCCTCCTCCTCCTTTTCCTCCTTGTGTCCTTCTTTGTCCTTGTCACCCGTCGTCCCCTCGAACGGCGTCAGCGTCAATGTGCTTGCCTTCGGCTTCGGTGCTTCGTTGTGGTCGCGGTCGTCACCCGTCCCCTCGCCGCCATCCTCGTGCTCCTGGCCGGGAAGTGGCCCCCTTACCGCATCCTCTGGACGCCGCATCGCGTCGATATCAAACCTGCTATCCCACTGCTCGATTACAAAGCAGCGGAACGCGCTAGAGGGGGACGAGGATGGCGGCGAGACGGTGCGTGACGATGGCGGCGAGGCGGTGGGTGACAATGGCGGCGAGAGAATCGATTCCTCTAACTTCCTTTCTTTTCGGTCATCCATCTGCAAATAGAACGTAAAAGTTGCTTTCCATTTACATCAAAACTGAGATAATTCTCACTTGCGTTCTCTCTCGCTCGCACGTAGAATACATGCGAATGAGAGAGAACGCAAGTTAGAATTATCTGAGATTTGATGTAAATGGAAAGCAACTATAATGTCGACGAGTCGCGCGGTACCATGGTATCCCGGCGGAGCGGGGATTAGGGCCACCGCACAAGCTTTTCCGTAATGCATTACGTTACGTTAAGTACTGATTCTAAACCTAAACCTAAATCTAAACTCGTACGTAATCTCAAACTTCAGTCAACGCACAGAGAAAATCGTAACGTAACGAAAGCATACTATGTTACGATTTTGTTTGTGCGTTGACTGAAGTTTAAGATTACGTACGAGTTTAGGTTTACAATCAGTACTTAACGTAATGTAATACATTACGGAAAAGCTTGTGCGGTGGCCCTAACTCTGCTTTTGCAGAGAGTTAAGGTGCCTTTTCACGCTCGACGCTCATTTTTAGCGTCAAAATAGGTCACGTGATTAAAGGTTTAGGTTTAGGTTTAGAATCAGTACTTAACGTAACGTAATGCATTACGGAAAAGCTTGTGCGGTGCCTCTTACCCTACCTACCTACCTTGTGCTACGACGATCGAAAGCGTAATGAGGAGAGTCGTCCTCTCCCCACCACGTGGGATAATGCGCGGACAAATGCGCGATCGTAATTGGTGGAGAACGGGAAGACCGAAGACGTAAGCGAATTGACCAATCACGATCGAAAGGTAAGGCAGCCATATTTGTCGCTTTCCATTTACATCAAAACTCGGATAAATCTCACTTGCGTTCTCTCTCGCTCGCACGTAGTATACATGCGAGCGAGAGAGAACGCAAGTGAGATTTATCCGAGTTTTGATGTAAATGGAAAGCGACAAATATGGCTGCCTTACCTTTCGATCGTGATTGGTCAATTCGCTTACGTCTTCGGTCTTCCCGTTCTCCACCAATTACGATCGCGCATTTGTCCGCGCATTATCCCACGTGGTGGGGAGAGGACGACTCTCCTCATTACGCTTTCGATCGTCGTAGCACAAGGTAGGTAGGTAGGGTAAGAGGCACCGCACAAAGCTAAATATTTCCTTCAATTTAGACTTTTCCCCTCAATCCCTGTAATTATTCTAATTAAATTACACGCGCGCGGAATGTAAATGTTGCGCCTTTTGCCTTATTTGCTCCCTCATCCTTCACTCTAACATATGACGATCACGTGGAAAATAAAAGTATCGCGAACGTGACTAGAGAAGTGGTAAGCGATAAGACATGAGAAAGTAATTAATAAAAAATGTCTTGTAAAAGGAGCGGCATAAATTAATCGGCGAGCGTCGCGAAACATCAGAGTAGTAGAGCGGGATTCTCTAACGCCTTTTTAGCGACGATTATTCGTTGTCGTTAGCGAGCGGTAGCCTATGAGAGTTGCGCGCTTTTCACCAGGATTGTCCTTGCCATTGGCTGTCGCTAGTTAACGATACCGAAAACTGTCGATAGCAAGTTACTGAATCCCGCTACGGATAAAATCTTTAACGGAACATATTTTTCCAATCGACAATCGACATCGTTTTAGTCAAAATTAGGTTAGATGGGCGAAACGTAGTAAATATCTACACTCGAATGAATCATATACATTGTCAATTAACTGACATTTATAACAAATATATTGTTGAAAAATGAATAAAGAAACATTGAACGAATACTTGGAAATTTTGACTGGCCATATTTTTGATGATGATAAGCTGGTAATTATATTGCGAACACGTGCATATATAACGCTTATCTATATTTTGTATATAAATATAATTAATGCACAATTAATATTTTTAGGTCACTTATAAATGGCTAAGTAACGAGTTACACGTTCATGTGAATATAGCGAAACAGATCTTATGGGAATTGTACCAAAAATATAAAAACAAGGATATCGAATGCACATATTTATTAATAGGCTTTCTAAAGGATAATGAAATGCGTGTAGAGATAGTAAAAGAATCTACTTTGTCGAAGGCTAAAGAAAAGTTCGATAAAATCATTTCGCAGCATCTCTACAGTGTTCACAAACCTCTTGCGAATTTGGAATTACTCGCCACTTCTGGTCCTGGAAATATAAATTACGGCGCAATAAAATGTGATGCCTGTAAAGAGAGAAGTGACGAGGAAATGCAGCTGTTACGTTGGGGTACAGCTGCGAAGAAAATTACATTGGAAAATAGGACGAATTCAAAGCCTGTAGATTTTGTAAATCCATCAAAGGTAGGAAAGAATTGCGATACGGCGAAGAAAAGTGGATTTAATAATTCGTTCGGTATGACTGGAAAGCCAAAGAATTCGGAAAAATTAAAATTCTTTCGACAACGGAATAAACGCTCGACGAAGGAAGATAAAAATTTTTTAAAGGAAACAAAATTGACAAAGAAGAAGGAAGATTCGATGAAAAAAGACGAAGCTTTAAGGAAGGAAGCTAAAGAATTAACGGAAAAGGAAAATCATTTTGTGGAAAATGATAAAGATTCTGTACAAAATCATAAAAATTCTTCTAAGAATAAAGGTTCTATGGAGAAGAATAAAGGCTCTGTCGATTCTATCGCTAAAAAAGTGTCTCCAAAGAGCTACTGCTCCTCTTCTGTAAAATCAGGAAGCTTGGATAATTTTTTCGTAAAACTTGCATCTCCTTCAAAGCCTACAGAAATGATATTAACGGAAAAGAAAAACGATAATGCCGAACAGAAAGAAGTTATGGAAAAAAGGAAAGCTAAAAAAAAGGAGAATTTACGTGGAAAAAAGCGTAATAGAAGCAAAGAAACGGAAGAAACTGCCAAGAAGAGAGAGAAAGTGATGAAAAACCAATCCACGTTGACAGATTTTTTTAACAAGTGTTAGATTTGTGTTTTAATTTTGAAAGTTCAATTAATTCATAAATATTTGTTTATTCTATATTTTTATAAATTATTTATTAAGATATAGATGATTGAATTAAACGATAAATATTATATACAACATTAGTAACGATAAGTGATATTCGATATTAATATTTTTGTGTAACGCGATATTAAAAAATTTTTTGAGTTCATATTTGGTTATCGTTAAGCGCTTGGTAATTTATTGTTTAGCAACTAGTTGATTTATCAATTATTATTCTATACATTTTGTTTAAAATTAATAACTAACTTTCAAATATTATTTAATAATAAAAAATTTTTAATATAAAAAATGTTGCGGTTTAATATTTTAGAAAATACCTTTAAAATTAATGAAAAAGAATAATATAAATATATGTATAATATATCAAAGTTACCGTATATATTTGATTTGCTACGGAATATTCCACAAATATATTGTATAGTTAATACAAATTATAAATTGTAACTAATCGATTAAATTTATCACACTTCATTTCTCGCAACAAGATGAGTAATACATTATCTGGTAAACGTACTTATATTATCAGGATTGGTTATAGTAGTTGCACCTTTTGCTCCGACTGAATAAGCAACCATCGATACCTAGTCTGAATGTGAAATTAAATCGCGAATAATAAAATTACGAATCATAATGTTTAATTACCGTAATATCATTATGTTATTGCTTTTAATCGTGTGCGACAAATGTTTGTGCGACATATGCAAAATCTGTATATGTTCTGCCTTAAGTAAGTCCAAAAAAAACATCGACAACAATCATCTCTTCTCGATTTAAATCTCCAAAATCTACCATCACCTCACTGCTGGAACTCTTTATGCAGGAAACAATTTTATTAACCACTTATTACTACAAAAATCATCAATTCGTATTTTAAACGTTCGAAACAATCGCATTCCTCTGATTTATCTAAAAAAATTTAACATTATTGAAAGGATTAAAAGATGTAAATATTAATGGAAATTCTTTGTCAGGATTTCCAGATATTTTTCCGAAAGATTTGGAAATACTGGATTTATCCTTTAACAATCTAACACAATGATTCCAGAAACGGTTTCTATTAAGAATTTTCCAAATTTAAGAATTTTAAAAGTTAATGAAAATCGTCTAAAAGATATAAAAATCCGGTCTGAATTGAGATTGGAAAGGCTTGAAGTAAATATTGTGGAGACGATTGAAGAGATTAGTAAAGAAGCATTTCTAATGCTACGGGAGAGAGAGAGAGAGAGAGAGAGAGAGAGAGAGAGAGAGAGAGAGAGAGAGAGAATGATTGTATTAACATAACTATATTTCGAGTAATAAGAAATTGAGTACAATCGAGAAAAATGTTTTTCAGCGTATGAATATTTGTTTTGTAAGTATATTTTATAACTTGTTAGAAAAAATATATTATTATCGATTATTCCGTCGAATATTCTCGACTGTGATTGGTCGATTTGTTCGCTACTGGCGGCGACATGCGACCAATGTAGAACGGGCTTTAGACGACGCATTCGTTATGTATCTAGATACACAATACGGGTCAAACTAAACATTTACGGAAGATTTATTAATTATATCAACTATTCGTACGCGAATGCGACGAAGCGAGAAAAACGCATCGACGAGGTGGTGTGCTGCGGCGGCACTTGAACAATCTAATAAGCGACGTAAGACTGAAAGACATCGTAGTAAGATTGCAATAAATAATTACATATCGGTGTCTTAAGTAAAACTTGTTTTTCTCACTTAATTCTTAAAACGTTTATCTTTTTCTTATATAGGTAAACAAAATATCAAAACATCATTGAAACATCTCGAGAAAAGTCTTCGGAGGGATGCAGCACGTGGAAACCCCAATTGTTACAAATCAGAAAAAGGATACGCGAGGAAGTGTGCTAGCGCAAAAGAGTGTGTACAGTGTTGGCAGTTGTCATTTGTCTGTGCCTCTATCATGCCTATTTGTATCGCGACCCTTGCAAAGTGACGTAAACATTCGGAATATTCTGTCTGTTGTAACTAGTTATAGATGAAAGAGAAACTTGCTTCCACAATGATGAGATGAAAACAAAAGGAAAACATGGAAGACGAATAATCCTATATACCGCAGATCCTGAAAAACAGGTTATATATGTATATATATATATATATTTTACGCTATTAATAACATATATCGCTAACAAATTATTACAAAAAGTAAACACGAGTACAGAATGCGTCGGAATTATTGCAAATTTGCTTCTATATAATTTTAAATAACAATAGTGAGATAACGATACCGCATTTGTATATCGCATTTAGAATTTTTTCAAAATTTATAGGGAACTCTGGAAAGTGAATATATATTCCCCACCCAATGGACGCTGAACAAACGTGGCCCACGGAGAAAGAATCGGCTGAAGCACAGCGGCCAATAGAAAGAGAAAAATTGTCAAAGCTGGAACCAAAAGCAACTTCTGAATACGAATGAAGCTCACTTCTCCCAAATCCCTGCGTAGGGATTCTTCCAACGTAGAATAGAATTTTTCGTATCTTTCGATGTTCCTTTTCCTGTCCTGATCTGATTTCGAGTAATGTAAAGTAGTGGGTGTACGTGTGTGTGTGTGTGCGTGCGTGCGTGCGTGCGTGTGCGTGCGTGTGTTTTCTCATACTCTACGAAGAAACCATACCTGTTACGCACATGTGGGTAATATCTCTTAGTTAGTTTCGGAGAAGGATGTAATGTCGATGTTGTCTGGGACCACCAGCAGCTCGTCGTGACACCAGGGAGGATCGCGTTCGAGAACATGACTCGTCGTGTGCACACAAGCGTCGTTCTATCTTTGTTCAACTTTCAGTAAATAACAAAGATAGAACGACGCTCGGTGCAGACGGGGGTGATGTTCTCGAACGCAGCCCAGCAGTTGCAAATTGTAGGCCAGTGGGCAATAACTTAACGTTAGGACGACATCTCTATTTATTAAATCCTGAAAATATAAATTCGACATCATTGTGTGTATGTGTTTTCTCATAAACTACGAAGAAACCATACCTTTTACGCACATGTGGGTAATATCTCTTAGGCCCAGTTCCACAACTTACTTTAACCCAAGTTTAACTCGTTAATGGAAAATTCACATTACGTCCGATGTACAAATGTATCCCCAATCGTATCCAGTCGTACATTGTACATCGGATGCGCAATGTGAATATCCTCCATTAACGAGTTAAACTCCGGTTGGTAAGAGTAAGTTGTGGAATCGGGCCTTAGTTAGTTTCAGAGAAGGATAGTAATCGATGTTGTCTGGTTAGGCTCCGCCACCAGCAGTGTAGTAAAACTTATTGTTAGAAAATATACAAAAGAAAAAAAAAAGAAAATTTTTGCCGCTTTTTATACCGCCGCTGCGAGTCGCTGAAAAAAAATAAGAATTAATAATTGTATCGTTAATATACAAAAGTTTATATATTAAAACAGCTTACCTCAGGTTTTTGAGGCCGCCGTCTCGCGGTCCTCCTGCTCCTGCTCCTCCTCCTCCTCCTCCTCCTCCTCCTCCTTGTGTCCTTCGTCCTTGTCACCCGTCGTCCCCTCGCCGGGCTGCGAGTTGCTGAAAAAAATGAGAATTTATAATAATTATATCATTAATATACAAGTTTATACATACAAGCAGCTTATTACCTCGCGCCAATTTCTGTCGCTTGGTGAAATTAACGGTAATGAAATTATTTGAGAAATGAGCCGCTACTTGCCTAAATCAAAAAACTATGATACATTTTTATCTAATCTTATTATTCGTGTATAGATTTAATTTAATAAACATGAAAGCTTACCCTTTTCTCGTTTGTCTCGGTGTCTCGTTCTTCTCTCTCTCTCTCTCTCTCTCTCTCTCTCTCTCTCTCTCTCTCTCTCTCTCTCTCTCTTTCTCAGAGGGAGAGAGATATATGTTGAGCAATGTTGCGTCCTCGATATTGTAGCTCGCGAGACAAAGATACTCGACAAAGATGCGAAGTAGAATCCCACGTTAAGGAAGCAAAGGAGGAAAGTTGCCAAAGTTTCGAGCAGTTTCCAGTATTTGCTGCCATGTTTCAGCGTACTCGTTTCACGGACGCTTGTTCCTGTTTGCAGAGTTATAAATTTAGTGTGTTTAGCTAGATGGAGAATGATATTTTTCCGCAGCGTCGAT